AACCCTGAACCCTGCAAATAGATGCCCCAAAGTCCCCCTTAAGTTCCAGCAATGGATTCACAATCACGAAGGTTCCCCATCATTCTTCCGGAAACCCTAAACCCTAAACCCTTAACCGGGGGGGCTCGAAGCCGAGAAACATCACAGTGGTGTAGGCGCAGTCAGGGTGGCCAAGGTTGAACCTGAAAAAAGGGCCCAGGACCAGCGGATCGGTATAGGAGTTTTAGGGGTTTAGGGTTTAGGGGTTTAGGGTTTTGGGGTTCAGGGTGTGGGGGTTTAAGGGTTAGGAGTTTAGGGTTCAGGGTTACCGAAACCCTTAGAAGTAGGTCGAATGATGACCCAACACCGACAAAACTGCTGCTCCACATAGTTTAGGGGTCCGGATTAGGCTTTAGTCAGTTTATTATCTGTCGTGTTTGCCTGTCTGTTATCTTTGGTTAGTCTCCTCTCTCTCTCTCTCTCTCTCTCTCTCTCTCTCTCTCTCTCTCTCGCTGTATCTGTGAGTTGTTGTATGTCTTTTTGTCGTATCCTGGCCATGATTCTCATTTCGGTTACTGAGTAGGGCTATTTTGTGGTTCTTCTTGTAATCAGAGCTCTTTGATGAAGGAGGGATCAGCATTCTTTGTGCTTTGCGGTTCAAGCGTCTGGTTTGGGGCGGGGGTTGGAAACCAAACGTTCGAGCCAAGGCGTCAAGATGATTGGCCTTCCCACGTCAGGGTTCTTCAAAGGGCAAATCCGGCACTACCTGCACTCCAAATAACCACCTGTGTAGCGTTCCTTATTCTGACTTCCTTATAGAATTCTTTAGCAGCCTGGATCGTTCTGGTCCCTACCAGATGATGTTGCATTCAAGCCCTCAGTTGTCAGCAACCTGAACCCTAAACCCTGAGCCGTTAACCATGAACAGCAATTCTGGAACACCAAACCCGTAGCCCTAAATCCTAAACCCTATAGATGCCTTATGGATCCCTTTAATGGAAGCCCTTTTGATCCCTTTCAAGGAACCCCTAGACTCCGTAAACCCTGAACGGCTAAACCTCAACAGTCTGAAGCTTTGCTGCGTCGCGGATGGCTTCAGTTCAGTTGAGGGGATCTGGGGTTTCTTGAAATCAGGGGGTGCCTGTTTTCAGGATACAATAATGACTTACTGTTTCGGGCATTTAAACCTAGGATATAAGAGCGACATTAATAGTTGGGGCATCTAAGAAGCCTATGTTCGAATCGGAAACTTGCTTGAACCACAAACCCCCTGACGGCAATTTCTCATCCCTTCAAACATCTTTACTACGCCCAATTATTGCCCAATTACTGAATGCCTGCGGCCCTTACAAGACCCGACAAACTCCCAGACAACCCCTTCAATTGAACCACCCATCGACCGTTAAAGAGCTGCTGGGCCCCACGCGCATCGGCCCACGATGTGTACCTCAGTGTTCCAGACCATAGTTGAGTTGATTTCTTCATGCCTTCTGCAACAGATGCTGCAAGGCTTCTGTAAGGCTTCAGGGGCTTTTCGGTTTTAGTGTGCTTCCGTAATAATTAAAATAGAATAGGGTTTGGGGGGCCCATTATACTAGAGGTATAGTAAGTATAGTAAGGGACCCCGCAAAATAGTATTTGCCATTATTTTAGACCCCTATAGCCTATATCAGTATGTCCGGCCTGCTGAGGCGGTTTGGGCTTCGGGATGAGGCTCCCAGAGCTGAAACTCTACATTAAACTACCGAACCCTGCTTATTTTTGTGGGTTCCAGTTATAAACCCTACCATGGAATTTATAGGGACCCTACAAAAAAGGAGGTTTTGGTAGGTTAAGGTCAGGGACTGGGGGTGAAGGGTTTCGGGGCGTTAAAGGTGTAAGTTCGTGGTTCTGAACTCTACCTGCGGTCTCCATTGTAGTTCCTTTTTTGTTTAACCAAAATCTGATCTCAATTATAGGATCCTAACCGTAATACTGGTTAACCAAAAACGGGAACTACAATGGAGACTCTAGGGAAGCCCTAAACGCATATAGCACAGGGCTTACGGAGAAGAAGCTTCTGAGAAATAGAATAAGGTTGGGGTGCATAGGTGTAAAGTTTCACCCTACATCCCTTTTGAAGGGTCATCATGCCAAGCCATCCGTCTTAGGGTTAGGATGGTTTAGGGTTGAGGTATGTTTCAGGCTTAACGCTCTGTGGTGGGTTGAATGTTGCTTTAGTTAAGCAAGGTATTGCGGCTGGGGCAGGTGCACTCGGTGCGATAAGCCCTGCCGAATACAGAACAGCCGTAGCATTTTTTGCTCCAGACACTTCACCCCCGGAGACTCTCGTATCCCGATTGCCACAGTCAGGACAGAGGGCAACAATGCTAGCTAATGCTATCACACAGGTCTCCAAACCTAGTCAATCCCAGAAAGCAAAAAATATAAGGTAAAGATAAACCATTACTTTGGAACTAGGCGCACCGAAACCATAGTTAGAAAGGTCTTCTGGCTGTTTGTTTTTCGACCCTCTGGGAACCAACATCCGAAACCCTATACGGCCATGTTGCGAATTGGGCGTTCCTGTGAGCGTGCCATCCTGGTCCCAATAGACGTCCTGAAGGCTTATCTTCTTTGGGTGAGCCTTACAGTGGCCTTACAGGTTAAGGATTTGTCGGTATCCTTAAAGGTCATACAGTGTAAAGTCCTGCACCATCTCTTCTTCATGGAACCGTCTGGACTTTTGTGGAGTTGTGCTAAGCCGAACACGAACATGTCATGTGAAGCTGAGGATACATGTTGGCGGGGTTCGGTGGAGGGGTTGCTGCCTGCGTTCAGAAGGCTTTGCTGCTTGATGTGTCCGCACCGTTTGAGCCTGTGCATGAATGTGGGCTCGTAGGATCTGTAACTGGAGGTTCATGGGTAGTTATAAGTTGTGTGCGGCCCCGCCTCACTAATAGTGGGCAGAAACAGAAGCACAAGATGAAGCACCAGGGAAATGCTGAAATGTTGACTCGTTTGTGATCATGCTCGCATGATTGGAAAACGCAAGACTGAGACAACAAGTAAACTGCCACCCCATGAGTTGCAAACACAGTCACACCCCTGTTGTTTTCTCGGATTCGATCTTGAGCAAACATCAGGAGCTGCAATGCCTCTGCGCGACTAGGCGGGGCGGGGCGGGGGGGGCTGGGGGTGCTGGGGGGGGCTGAGGGGGCTGGGCTGGAAAGCTGAACGGACGGGGGGGTGGGGGGCGGGCTAAGGCCGGGCCGGGGTCTGGCCTCTTCGACCAAGTTTAGTACTGAGAGGCGTACCCGGGCGCGACATTTCGATCACAGAAACCTCTTTTCTGTTGTGCTTTTCTTGTGCTCGAAACGATCCGATTGTGCTTTTTTTTTGTGCTTTTCTTGTGCTCCAAAAACCAAACGTGTTTGTATGTTTGTGCTTTTTTTTTGTGCTTTTCTTGTGCTCGAAACGCTCCGGCTGTTGTGCTTTTCTTGTGCTCGAAACGCTCCGATTGTGCTTTTTTTTTGTGCTTTTCTTGTGCTCCAAAAACCAAACGTGTTTGTATGTTTGTGCTTTTTTTTGTGCTTTTCTTGTGCTCGAAACGCTCCGGCTGTTGTGCTTTTCTTGTGCTCGAAACGATCCGATTGTGCTTTTTTTTTGTGCTTTTCTTGTGCTCCAAAAACCAAACGTGTTTGTATGTTTGTGCTTTTTTTTGTGCTTTTCTTGTGCTCGAAACGATCCGGCTGTTGTGCTTTTCTTGTGCTCGAAGCGGTCCGATTGTGTTTTTTTTTTGTGCTTTTCTTGTGCTCCAAAAACCAAACGTGTTTGTATGTTTGTGCTTTTTTTTTTGTGCTTTTCTTGTGCTCGAAACGCTCCGGCTGTTGTGCTTTTCTTGTGCTCTGTCTGTACTCTTTCTGCAATCTAGGCAGGCCTCCGGGCTCGTTTCCGCAAACGTGTTTGCATGTTTGTGCTTTTTTTTGTGCTTTTCTTGTGCTCGAAACGCTCCGATTGTGCTTTTTTTTTGTGCTTTTCTTGTGCTCCGAAAACCAAACGTGTTTGTATGTTTGTGCTTTTTTTTTGTGCTTTTCTTGTGCTCGAAACGCTCCGGCTGTTGTGCTTTTCTTGTGCTCGAAACGCTCCGATTGTGCTTTTTTTTGTGCTTTTCTTGTGCTCCAAAAACCAAACGTGTTTGTATGTTTGTGCTTTTTTTTTGTGCTTTTCTTGTGCTCGAAACGCTCCGGCTGTTGTGCTTTTCTTGTGCTCGAAACGATCCGATTGTGCGTTTTTTTTTGTGCTTTTCTTGTGCTCCAAAAACCAAACGTGTTTGTATGTTTGTGTTTTTTTTGTGCTTTTCTTGTGCTCGAAACGCTCCGGCTGTTGTGCTTTTCTTGTGCTCGAAACGATCCGATTGTGTTTTTTTTTGTGCTTTTCTTGTGCTCCAAAAACCAAACGTGTTTGTATGTTTGTGCTTTTTTTGTGCTCCATGATTTCAAAACACATTGGCGCGCGGCAGTTCTGGTGCAAAATTGTCTCTGTCTGTTGTGCTTTTCTTGTGCTCGACGCGGTCCGATTGTGCTTTTTTTTGTGCTTTTCTGGTGCTAGTTTTGCTCTGTCTCTCTGGCGGCCGGGCCAGTCCAGTCCCCGCGTCCAGGCCGTCTGAAAGAAGGTCTCCGGGCCCAGGTTGCGATGGTAACGAAACCGTGGTTCCAAACCTCTTCGCTGGTAAGTTGCAGATAGCTCCTCCCAACCTCTTCGCCGGTCCGACCCCATCTCACAGCCCTAATCGCCAAACTATGCCAAACATATTTGGATTCAAAACACTGCCTGGCCCTGGAAAACCGAATGAGATCAGATTTCCTTGTGCTACTTTTGGCCTGTCTGTTTGATAATAAACCTATTTTTGAACTATTAGTGGGCCGGGGCCCCATCTAAGTTATAAGTGGGGTTATAAGTCCCCTGAAAAAAGAAGAATCGATGGAAACCCAAAGTCTCGACACACCAAATCACTACTTCCTGTCATCTTTGACGTACTTTCAACCGAATCCGAATTTTGGGAATCTCTCTTCGTACGGGTAGAGCTTGCAACCGGCCTTCTTGTAGACTCGGAGCTTCCTGGTGACGTTGATGAAGCCTGTGGGGCAACTCGGGGAGTCCGAAATCGACTTCGGATCCAGGGGTATTCTCCCAAAGGGTCCTAGGTACTGTTATGGGGACAACTTGCCCTAATCAGAAGAGTATTTTCCGAATGCAGAAACCCTACATTCTACTATATAGGTACTTTGGGCCCTTTGGATAAAGATACCAAAGCCCTTAAACACTATAATCCCACCTTAAAGGTACCTAAACCCAAAACCCTAAACCCTTTGGACACTTTGGGTTTGGGTTTGAGCCTTTAAGGTTTCGTGTTTAGGCTGTTAACTATGAGGCTTTGGACGAGGAGCCCCCAAACCCTAAGACCCTAAGACCACACCCTAAACTCCTTAAAGCCGTAAAGCCCCAGACCCTTACCGTGGCTTACTACTTGCTTTTAAAGCCTTTGAAACATTAGTAGGTAAGATCCTTGTAAGCCCAACAAGAGCAAATATAAAATGTCCCAAAACCCTGCCTGGTTTATGGTTCTTGTAGTAAAGATCCCACACATGACGCTGGCCCTTCGGGTTCCCTTGTCTTCTATGTGGGAGTTTCCCAAACTAGAGGTACCTTATTTTGGGGTCCTTATAATGTGGATCCTACTATTGAGGGTACTATGTTAGGCTCCTCCTACTTTCGGAAACTTCCATGTAGAATTCTATAGTTTAGGGCGCAGACTTTAAGGCTGGGGGTTCAGGGCTTCGGGCTAAGACCTTGCAGAGCTTAAAAGTTTTTAGGGTTTAGGGCTTTTAGCGTCAGGGTTTAGGGTTTAAGTGACTTTGTGACTTTAGTGGGTACAGAGAGTATGCAAACAGCTCAAGGGAAATCATTGGCGAGTTGTATTTTGTTTTGCGGAAGGGCGGATGCCGATTTGCGAACGCTAGTGATTTGGGGTTTGTCCCAAACGCTAGCCCGTCTAATTGTCAATGCAGACGATCAACTATTCTTTTAACCCGTAACCCCAAGCCCTAGAAACACCATCTGTCCACAAAACCGAACGCTTTAAATCCTGAAACATCAAACACAAGGAACCTAAAGCCCTAAACCGTAAAGCCCATGCTGCCTAAACACTGAACCCAAGACCCTTACATTGTAAGGCCTCAGCCCCCTGTGCTTCTGCAATTGTGGCCCGAAACCCTCTAAGCCTACAGTAAACCCCATCAATATTGGAAACCGGATTAAGGCCGAATAGTGCTGGGATTCCCTATACATTGCTCTTAGGGATTGAGGCTATTGGGTTTCCAACTGTTGGGCTTCCACTGTAAACCCTAAATCGGCGGCCGAGATACTCAGTCCGCTCATCCTGTACGTGTGAACACCCTGGCGCCACTTCGCAAAGGACCTCGTTTTGAGGCTTAAAGCTTCGGGTATGAGGTCAAGACCTTGAGAGCATTCTTAACAGCTTAGCTTGTTTGCAATTCTTGTGTAAGGATTTTTTGCCTTTATGAGTTTTGGGGTGCTAACATAGCTATGGCCAGTAAATAAATACACAATATATATATATATATATATATAGATATAGATAGATAGATAGATAGATATGCATACCTCTGTATATAAAACTCTATGTGTGTATTTTAAATTTATATATGTGTATATATATATATAAACATATATATATATATGTAAATGTGTGTGTGTGAACGCTGCTCTGCCTCTTGGATTTGTTCGGCCTTTTCTTGAATGTTCCATATGCCTTCAGATGCCGCTCGTTTCTTTGTTAGCGCCACGGCCCTCGGGGCTTAACTGCCCGATAGTCCACTTGCACCCAAGCCCCAGCCGTGTTTAAGGTGTAGGGTATCTGGGCAAATACTGGGTTCTTGTAAAGAACCTATTTTTAGTTGACATGACAAGGAATCTCTGCTATTTGCGATAGATCCCGGCCAGTATGGTATCTTAACTTAAAGTATAAGAATGAACGGAGTTGCATGGCTTGGGGTCGCTGCACCCGACGTCCTAACAATCCCTGGAGCCACAAAGCCTGAACCCCAAACCCTCATCCAAAGCCACTTCAAAGCGCAACACCTCATGCACATCTAACACTAACCGTACCCTTAATCTAGTCATGCCTTTGTGGTCAACCTTTGTATGTTCAGGCTACTGCGAGATTTCCGAAAGCAAGATGTGGTAAGCAAACAGCAAAAACTAAGTACTTGACAGAAGGATCTAGACTATATGAAATTAACGCCCGATTCTCTCAACAGCAAAGGCCCGCAAGGTTACTCCCAAACCGCTCACCCACTAAACGTTGAATAACCCTCGAAAAGCCAACGGGAAACCATGAAAAATCAAGAAACACGCCCGCACGATCATGATTGCACCCACCAAGAAGGACTGGCTTGAATGGCGGGGTATACTATACTATACTATACTACTTAGTCTATGCTATATCTATCGTAAGGAACCCTAAAGACTTTCATTAAGACTTATTCAAGACTAATCAGGCTTGCAAAGCCCTGGACCCTAAACCCTAAACCTTATAAGTCCTGAACACTCAGACCTCAACCATAAGCCCTAAACCCTGAATCCCATAACACCTAAACCTGTAAAAACCCACAATCCCAAGGGCTCTAAGGAATCATGTATTAAGGCTTTTGGGCACAAAAACCATTCTATATAAGGCTTTTAAGCTATTTTGATGCTTAAAAAATGAAGGAGTCTCAGCCCCGCCACCCCCCCCCTCCCCCACCCCCGGGCTCGCTACCAGCATTTCGAGCAGCCTTTGAAGACTGGAGACTGCCAGGTCGCACAGAATAGCTTAGGGCTTTAGGCCTTTTTCGGTTCAAGGATTAGGGTTTAGGGTTTAGGGTTTTAGAATAGTTCAGGGTTGAGGGCTTCAGGGTTTTGGGGTTTTGGGTTTAGTGGTACACGGGCTTCTACGAGAAACTTTAGCCTTCCTCATGGAAGCTTTCGGCTCTTTCAGGTTTTGAATAAGGGTTTAGGGGGGTTCATGGGCTCCGAAGAAAAACTTCAGGCTTTCTTAGGTTTTAAAGGGTTCAGAGAGGTGTTACAATTTTCTGGGACAAACTTTGGGCTTGTCCAGGTTATTTTTAAGGTTTGGGAGTTGTTTTAAGGTTGCTTTTTTGTTGTTCAGGGTGTTTGAGGTTTGAGCTCTAGGGGTCTGCGATGTTGTTGCTTTCGGTGCTTCGGGGGTTTAGGGTTTTCGGGTTCATGGGTTTGGGGCCCGAAAGCCTTTTGGGGTTTAGGGCTTCGGGTTTAGGGTTTAAAGTTTTAGGGTTTAGGGCTAAGGGTTTGGGGTTTAGGGCTTCGGGTTTAGGGTTTAAAGTTTTAGGGTTTAGGGCTTAGGGTTTGGGGTTTAGGGCTTCGGGTTTAGGGTTTAAAGTTTAGGGTTTACGGCTTAGGGTTTGGGGTTTAGGGCTTAGGGTATAAGGTTTAGGGTTCCACGAGAGCTTTATCTTTGCCGAAAGAGCTGTACAGAGGCAGTACATACGACCAAAGACTATGCCCCGGTTAGGAAGGATTTTTCCAAAAGTTGTTTAAAGGCTGTTCATAGTTTCACTCCATGGATTTGTAAGGGCTGCAAAGGCCGTACTGCGGCTTGGCAAAGCTGAATTGTGTGTGTGTATATATATATGTACAAATCTTTATATGTATGTATAAATATGTCTATATGTATAAATATGTCTATATGTATGTGTATATATATATATGTATATATATATATGTATATATATATATATATGTATGTATGTATGTATGTATGTATGTATGTATGTATGTATGTATGTATGTATGTGTGTGTTGCTAGACAAGAGTCACGTTGGCGTGTGTGTGTGGCATAAGTATACGTGTGTATGTCTAAATATATCTATGTATATATATATATATATATGTGTGCATGTACACCCGCAATATGTGAGAAACTGCATTTCGTGTGTTGCATAAGCTAACGATTTCACGGGTTCCATCATGACACCCGATGCAACCCCAATCAACTCCCAGCACACACCAGCGAAAGTCATCAACTTCCACGTATGTCTTTTCAAGCAAACCTATAACCGTAAGCCTGAAGCCCTAAAAACAAAACCTAGAACCTAAGCCTGTAGAGACATGAAATCAAAGACCACTATAGACCCTTATAAGGAACCCTGAGGCATAGTCTTGGTAGTTATTCTAGCCACATACTACTTCCTGTCGCCTTGCCCAGGTTGATCCACATGGAATCCGTAACCAGGAACTGTTCGTTCTGCGGCAGCAGAATGGACCTTGTCAGTGTATAGAGCTAGGATTTGTGTTCAGGGTTTTGGGGGCTTTAGGGGTTTAGGGTTCAGGTTCTGGGGTGCAGGCTTGTTTCAGTGCCCTGTTACTCTTTGCCAGTTGCCTGATGTTAAGAAAGCCAGGTAGGCTGAGGATGGTCAGCAGGCACCCGCGGGTTACACTCATGGTCTAGCAACTCACCACAACACGTACGGGTAGTTCTCTACATTCGGTTCCCTTTTAGGGTCCTTTCACCAGGGTGCTGTGTTGTAATTATTTGGGTCAAAAAAGGGGCGCTGCTCTGCGTATGGAGACAGTCTCAACCCCAAAGGCTCCATGTACCCATATAGTAGGTACTTTGGCCTTAAAGTACCCATATAGGGACCCCTTTAAGGGCTAAGTACCTACTATATGGGCACATGGAGTCTAAGGGAACATGCTCAAGCGGACACCGGAGCATCACACCATCGCCGACCCATCGAGGGTTAGGCTTCAGGGTGTAGGGTTTGCAAAGGACGACTCATGTCCCGGAACCCCAGCTACCAATGAAATGGTTAGTTACAATAAAACTAAAACCAAAAAGCCCTAAGCCTTATAAACCCTGTAAGCCCTGAAGAAAGGCTAAACGCCTGCCAGCAAGCCCGACTGTGCCAGTTGCAGCAGGATCGGCCGTAAAACACATCACAATATGGTATCCTTAAACACTAAACTCTAAACATAATTCTGAGGCGTAGCATGCTTTAGGCGAATAGGGGCTTCTCAGGGGATATCATGGTACCATTACCCTCAAGTAAGTCTTAGGTCGCACTAGGCTTCCATGTTAACCTTCAGGGCTACTCAAAAGGGGTTTAGGATGGTCTATGTTTTTCGGTTCCAGGGTTAGGGTTTAAGGTCCAGAACTTAGGGCCAGTTTAGGGTCTGGGTTTCGATTCCAAACCCAAAGGCTCCATGTACCTACTTAAGGCTTAAAGGGGTGTCCATATAGGTACTTTAAGGCCTAAGTATATACTACATGGGTACATGGAGCCTTAGGGAAAGAGAGCTTGGAGGGATCCTGGAGCCTCTCTTTCTACGCACTTGTTGGAGGGTCGGGGGACTTAGTAACTGGTTATTTAGGGACTTATAAGTACCATAACCCCAATTAGGGTTCCTTTTAGGGTACCTATAAGTCTACTTACTACCTACTTACTAAGTCCCCCGACCCTCCAAGCGGAAACCCGCACGGGCAATGGTTTTTCACGGGGTTTGGGGTCTCTAGGCTGTGTGACCCTCGAATAGAATATAACCCCTTGACCAACTACCCAAATACATGACTCATGGGTATGAGTAATACGGCGGAGAAGTTGTAGTATATACATAGATGTGGGTAGCGAAAGGGCTCGATTCAGATAGAACAGTGTTGTCGCGTAGTTTCGAACACCCTCCAACCTGTTCAACTAATCAACTCGTCGTCGGTTCCTGTAAAGGTCCACATGAATGAAACCCGAAATCTTATGTAGTGCGCCGTTTAGGAAACCGGAGAAAGCCACTGAAGCCTCGAACCCTGAAACGAAATCGCGCAAACCTTAAACACTAAAACCCTGGACCGTAAAGCCCTTCTAGATCCCCCTTTCTTTAGGATCCATCAAAGAACCCAAACACCCTCAACTCTCCAGGGCCACCGCTGACCCATTTTGGATTCTTTCCACTCGAGGTTCTCTGGGAGAACTGCGACGAAGACACTGTCCTCGTGAGACCGCCGTCTTCGCGAGAACCCTTTTCATAAAGTCTTTCAGCTTTAGATTGAGGGCTGAGCAGCTAAGTCCTGGGCCCTAAAACCACGCAAAACTCTCGTAGTACCTTCCTACATATAACTTGGAGCCCAGTGTAGGTACTATAGAAGCTGCGTGAGATGGTCAAGCCGGTCCTTGATGTGCGGAATGCCTTGGCGCCACGAGGCCAGGATTTGACTGTTGCACAATTCGGGCGGCATGTTTCTTGAAAAGACAGGATGCACAGTAAAGGCTTTATGGGGCTTTGGGTCTTCAGGGCTTAGGAAGCAAGGCTTAGTGTTCCATTCGCACGTGCTGTTTAGGGTTGACGCCACGGGTGTAGGGGCACAGGAATGTACAGGATTGCCATGAAAACAAACCTCCCCAAACTCAGAGCGATTGGAAACCTTCAGGACTTTCGAATCTGCCGTGGAGTGATTAGAAGTTAGTTGTCGTAGTAGTAGTAGTAGTAGTAGTAGTAGTAGTGGTGGTGGTGGTAATAGTAGTAGTAGTAGTAGTAGTAGTAGTAGTAGTAGTAGTAGTAGTAGTAGTAGTAGTAGTAGTAGTAGTAGTAGTAGTAGTAGTAGTAGTAGTAGTAGTTCGTATTAGCAGTAGTAGTGGTAGTAGTAGTGTAAGTAGTAGTAGTAGTAGTAGTAGTAGTAGTAGTAGTAGTAGTAGTAGTAGTAGTAGTAGTAGTAACACAGTAGTAGTAGTAGTAGTAGTAGTAGTAGTAGTAGTAGTAGTAGTAGTAGTAGTAGTAGCCGTAGTAGAAGTCCTCCTCCTGCTGCTGGTACGACGACGACGACTACTACTGCTGCTAGTACCAACAGCTGATAGCGATAGTAGCGGCAGCTGCCATTGAAGATGCTCTGGCCCGGATCGGCTGAAGTAGTGTAGTAGCAGGAGTTGTCGTCGTAGTAGTAGTAGTAGTAGTAGTAGTAGTAGTAGTAGTAGTAGCAGTAGCATTAGCAGTAGCAGAAGCAGCAGCAGTAGTAGCAGCAGCAGAAGCAGGGTGGTAGCAGTAGTAGCAGTAGTAAGAGGAGAAGGAGGACCAGGAGGAGAAAGAGTGAGTAGAAGACGAGCATGAAGCGAGCAGCAGTTATGCCACCACTGATAAGCATGTCTCAGTCCTACTGTGCTCGTTCAGAATGAACCCGTGCAGAGTTTCAACTTTGAGATCATGGTCTGATCATGGCTGCTGTGACGGCTGCTGGCGATTGCGTGCTGTATGGGTGAACCAATACCTGTATACCCTAAACCTTAAACTCCCGAAATCCTAGGAATATTCAGGCTTCTACAGTTGTAATTGCGCTATCCAACTTCTGCCGAAGCACCAGTCCAGTCCGTCTCGTACCTGCGGCGAAGCTTGGGGCTGAATACCCTAGCCCAAAGCCAAAGAAAAAGCTTTTTCAATTAAATTATGGTGGGGTTATACAAACCCCCAACTACTGAGGAAGAAGTCCAACACATCTGTTTCGGAATTGTAGGTTGTAGGTTCAGAGACAGGGATTTGACCGGAATTGGGGTAATTACCCAGGTGCCCAAAACCATAAACCCTGACACACTCCTGACACCTAAACCGCTTAAGGCTGTAGAAACGGCCCTGGGCACGTTGTAAAGTCCTGGACCTGAGCCTGGACAACACACGTTCTGGCAAGTAGGACAATCTCTTGGCATCTAATCTTCAAGCAACCACCTAAACCCTAAACCCTGCAAATGTCTCGGGGTATATGACACGACCGTACGGGGAACTATAGAACTCCTGAAAGCCCGAACTTTCTGATGAAATGAGACTGGTGCCTAACATCTGCAAGAAGTGAAGCCGGAGGGTTTAGGGGTAATAAGCCACAAAACCTGAACCCTCTATAGGGGCCTTAGCCATCAGAATGGGATTTTTGGGGCCCATCAGACTATGCTTATAATAAGGAACCCCCAAAATTTAAAATAGTATTGGTACTTGTTCAGGCCTCTTATGTAGAACCCTTCTATAGATCCCTTATAGACCCCTTTCAAGGAACCCTCAAAGAAACCCTGTGACTATTTAGGCCCCTTATAGCAAACCTTATCCCCCCCTTAGAGCCCCGGGGGCACTTCGAGCCGTGGCTTGCTCCAAAGGCCCGCATAAACTTCACGGAGAAGTAGTCTTGCCTGGTGGGCTTTGGGTTCTGGGTTCAGGGGTTTAGGGGCTCGATTCCCGAAACCACGGTTCAGTGTTTAGGGTTAGGGTTTAGGGATTAGGTTTAGGGTTTAGGGTTTAGGGTTTAGGGTTTAGGGTTCAGGGTTTAGGGGCTTAGGGTTCTGGGTTTAGGGGTTTGGGGGCTTAGGGTTTAGGGGTTCAGGGGTTTAGGGTTTAGGGTTCAGGGGTTTAGGGGCTCGATTCCCGAAACCACGGTTCAGTGTTTAGGGTTAGGGTTTAGGGATTAGGTTTAGGGTTTAGGGTTTAGGGTTAGGGTTTAGGGTTTAGGGTTTAGGGTTCAGGGTTCTGGGTTTAGGGGTTTGGGGGCTTAGGGTTTAGGGGTTTAGGGGTTAAGGATCTTCGCTGCTTCTCAGGGATATGATAACCAACTTAGGGATTATGATAACCAGAGACTGAAAATTTTGTTTCTAAGTACCCCTACGCCTATGGGCTTAGAGTGGAATCTACAGGTTGGAGGTCGACTGGAGGTTGACTGGTTCTTGAAGTTAGGGGTCCTGGCCATGCCTGTTACCAAACTCTACCTTTTGTTGTGGGTTCTTATTCTACATCTTGCTATGGAATTTATAGCAGAGGGTCCAAGTACCCAAGTAGTAGGGTTTCAGATACGTAACAAAATCCACACTCTAAGTGGTCTTTGGAACTTGAAATCCTACTACTTGGTCACTTGGACCATAAACCCTGAACCCCGAAACCCCCTGAACCAAGCCTCTTGACAACTCAAGCTCCAGAACCGAGGCGTTCCACCCGAAATCTGAGGGGTGTGAGTGCAGGCCTGGGGTTCGGGAACTAGGGTTGAGAGCCAGTATTTTAAGGAGTCTTGGGTATCATATACCCCTACACGGCCCTACACGCAGCAAGCACTACATCCTTGAATTTTGAACGAATCCGGAGTTCTGAAATCGCACTGTCTACAAAGCGATTAAGATCCCGGCCCACCACTCTCCACGGCAGTCATGTGGTGGTTGTGGACGGAGCCCATCTGAGAGTCAACATGGCTGGATTATACTTGTCGACAATCAAGATCAGTTATCATTCCATCTAAATCACATCAGATAGAATGGTAACTGATAACTTGCCCCCTCAGAAAAAGGATGAACAAGGTATAGATCCTAAACTCTTGTCACAGACCCGATATCCCCACACCCTCAAAAAACCCAACACCCAAAGCCCCGGAGTCCCGGAGTCCTATGTTGAAACCCGTGAAACCCCGTAAACCGCCCTACACCTCACACCCTGAACTTCATACTACATCATAAAACCCTGAGCCCTAAACCTAAACCTGGAAACCCTAAACCCCGACCCTTGAACCCTACCCTATGGATGGACCCTTTTAAAGGAATCCCTATAGATCCCTTTAAGGGAACCCCTATAGATCCCGGTAAAGGGAACCCTAGAACCCCAAATCCCTGGGCCGCCGGACAGCCATGGCGTTGTAGCAGGCACGGCCGATGCCCCAGCCTGAGACCCAGCTACACTCATAGGGACCCATAGGGGTTTAGGCTTATAGGGCTAGGGTTGTAGGGCTATAGGGTTTAGGGTGTTTTAATTAATGCCCATAAAAAGACCCTTAAGGGTTGTAGGCTTATAGGGTTTAGGGTTGTAGGGTTGTAGGGTTGTAGGGTTTAGGCTTAGGGTTGTAGGGTCAAAGGTTTTAGGGTGCTATAATGCCCATAATAAGGACCTAATAAGGCCTATTTACGGAAGTATAGTCCCCCCTCCCTCTACCCCACTGAGGGGCTGAGTCCAAAAAAGGTGAACCTGGTAGGGTTTAGGGTTTAGAAGTTTAGGTTTTAGGGATCAGGCTTCAGGGAGTAGGGTTTAGGATGGTTTCGGGTGTTGGGTTTAGGGTTTAGGGTTATATAAACCCGACAAAAGGCTAAAGCTTAGCTGCGAAGTACAGGAATTTGGTGCTGAAGCTTTCTAGTTAGCCGAGGTTCTATATTTACATGTATAGCAAAAGTACATGTATACTGTTCCATGTAAACCATGTGTGTATATGCATATGTATATGTATATGTATATGTGTATATATATATATGTATATATATATATATATATAACCTTCCCGAAATCTCTTGCAAGCAGCCCCTATGCCCATTGCACACGCGCTTTTCCCAAAATGTTGATCAACACCGAGCCGGCATTATCTGAATTCTGTTGGGAATGGATGAAGCCAGATGGCGACGCCACCTCTAGTATGATGCCCCGCATTCCCGAGAAGAGACTGGGCAAGGTTCCTGCTTGTATTTTCATGCCCTCATCCCCAATGATGGAGTCCTAAACAGCTCTCAGCGGATTTGGCAGCACGTTGTGCTTTATTTTCGCCCATATCTTCCCTACCAGACTTGTCCTACATTATCATACATCCAGTGCATTTTAGCGTGTCTAAATCTCCCTTGCATCTCCAAAGCAAGAGGTCTTTCAAGCTCATACTGCAAATCAATGCCACAACATGCCGCACCTATTATCAATTCAGGCTGTGTGTCAAGCAGGTCTGGTACCTTTTCGGCTCTAAAATTCTACAATCTATTACAATGCCTTTCTCTCAAAAGGCCATGTCATTGCTTCAGGGTCCACAAAGTTTGGAGTGTCCCCGGACTTGAGGGTGCAAGTAAACCATCCGTCCGTTAGCGGGTTAGGGTTCAAGGGGAGATATTACAAGCTGCTCCGCCCTTGCAACAAAGAACCACACCTGAACAAGCCCGAACCCTGGACCCGCTGTTATCCAGTATTCGTGGATTTCGGGTTTAAACGAAAACGGTACCCCTTTCACATAGTCGAATCCCTGCTATGGGTGCCCCTGCCCATAGCATAAGTGGGCCAGCGACCCCTGAATCCACGAAATCCCCAACTTGGGTCCCTGGCAGGTGGTGTTGAACAGAATCTGGGGATTCTCGTCGCTGTCTCCATTGCAAGGCTCCTCAGCTCAAGGGGTCTTGTGGCTTTAGGGTTTAGGGCGTTGGAGGATCCCTTTCCTCCGATTCCCGAAAGGCCCATGTGCCTATATGGTGTACCCGTTGGTGCTGTGACCTTTTAGAGTTCATGATCAGGAGGAATATGACAGAACGAGCACCACAACTGGTGATCTTTCACAGTAGACCTGGCCATGCTAATGACTGTGCCGCAGACACTGACGATAAAGGTGGTCGTGATTCTCTCATCATGGCAGAGCACGAGAAGCTTTGAAGTGCAGCCCTTATCTGAATCTTTCCGGGCACAAAACTCGTCCTGAAAGCAGTGAGTCCTAAGCCTCAAAGCGCGAATGACCAGAGGCTCCTTGCGCGGGAACCACTCGAGATAGACGCGAATGCAGCTACCTGGAATGCAGTCCCAAGGGTGGCAGTTTAGGTTTTGCCGGCGTAGGTGTTGTTGATAGGGTTTCGAGTCCAGGCTCATTCGGGCTGATCCTATGCGCTGGAATCTACAATCGTTTAGTAGCTTACATTACTTGGTGGGTGCTGAGCTCGCTCTTAGCAGGTGCCTGCAAACCTGCCGACCAGGCGAAGCTACTCACAAATGCTTATGTTTGTAGTCATCTGCAGCACTTTCTCAACCGCATACCAAGTCAAAGCTCAGAACTTCACACGGGGTTGCTGGCCAAACAAGGACAGCCCCCTGCTAGAACCCATTTTAGACAAATATGGGAACCCGCAAATGCCGATCTACAACCACTCTGCTATGCTATCAAGTATTCGCTCGAAAGCCCTAAACCTTTGAACCTCAAGACTCTGGAAGTTTAGGGTGTTGCAGGACTTATATAAGCCCTAAACCCAAAACCCCTAAACCCTAAATCCTAAACCTTGAACCCTGAACCCCAAGCCCTACAGCCCAAAACCCGAGACTCATATTACTGTTCCAAGTTTCTGGCTTCTGCTGTAGGTTGCTCCGGGCTCAGAGTTTACAGAACATATAGAGGCCTTCATAACAATTAGAATAGGGTTTTGGGTGATCCTTGAAGGGGTCCTTTGAAAGGATCTATAGTAGCATATTCTAATCACTCTAATCACTAAGGCCCCGATATTGTCCCTGCTTTGCAAAGGAACCTGGCAGGTGATGACAACGATTTCGGCTCCACTCGCCGATGCGGTCGCCAATGGGGCACACCGTCTCCTCAACCGGGGGCTAAACAGCAAGTAGTTTAGGACTTATATGTCAATGAAATGTGGGGCAAAACAGTAAGCAGTTTAGAACTTACACATGTCCTAAAATCTGCTGAATCTACAGTCTTGGACGAATATCAGGATAATTGTGAAGGCCTCAATGATTTGGATAGGGTTATGGGTCGTTTTAGCATACTGAGACTGACTACAATGTCCACAAGGTATTCCGGAGCACAATTCCTCAAATGTCTATATTACAGACCTTTTGGTACAGCTCAAACATATATAACTCCCAACTAGAAACCCTAATCATCTGTCTGGTGCTTAGTAGGGAATGGGGGAATGGATCCGTATACTAGTCCCTATATCATCCTCAACAGTAGTCCCCATAATCCACTCCCCCACTCGCTACTAAGAACCAGATAGTCACTTAAGCTTACGTCGCTCCGTGGTCTTATCTTTAAGCTAGACAGAGCAGTGTACGGTTTCATAGAAGACCCCAGTGGTCACCGCTTCAATCGACCTTCAGAACAACCCCTCATGTGCATACTCAGGACCCTAGATGGTGCATCCGGGCTTTGATGCTCGTGGCTGTAAGGCTTTACGTTTCGTCAGATCCTTCATTCTGAACCCTCACCCCTCCAATCGGGACCCAACACAAACACCTGAACCAAAACAAAACATGAGGTTGAGACATCCATTGACATCCCATCATCCCCTCCCCAATAATGCTGGGATATACAATGCACAAGTTTCTGCTCGGGTGCTTTTTAGATACTGATACATGGGAGCTTCAGACAATGAGGGGCCCCTATTGTTGTGTTTTAGAGTTCAGGGCTTAGGGTCTAAATCCCAACCCTTATGCCCTTAAGCTTTTAGGCCGACGGCGCGGAGCCAGAACCTCCAAAACACCTGTACTTTAAGCTTTCTGTCAGGGCCTTACGGTGGTAGGGTTGAGGACTTGAGCGGGTAGGGTTTCTCAGGGTTTATGGTTAGCATTTGGGTCTGTGAAGATGCAGCGATTGGGGTTTGCGTCTCGGGCTTTAGTAAATTTAAGGATCTCGGGTTCAGGGGCTGAGGGCTGAGGGGTTTAAGGGCTCTAGGGCTCGGGTGCTGTCTTTTCGTTGTGCAGCTTCTGCTTTCTGGCTCGAGAACTCACCCGCCTTGTAGACATCCATGGAGTGCGAAATGGGTGTGCCAGGCCTTGGCACAAACACACGTTTCGCAGAAGTCCCATCAACGCGGAAGCATGTTCAGCTTTTATCCCAGAGCCGCCATTTCTGAACATGGAACACTCACTTGTCACTGCTCTATTGCGCTACTGACCCGAAACACTCATCCCAATTTTCGAGCCATCCACCCGCAAGCCTACACCCGAATCCTAGAAATCTGAACCTTGCTTGCCCGATCATGGGACGTATGCTGACAAGATCGTGGAGGAAGGCTGGCTGAAGTGAACTGCTTCAGGCTCGTCCCCTGTAGGATTGAGGGTCCGAAAACTCCCACCATGAACACCCAAATCTTACCTTCAACCCTGCGCACCGACCAGGACCCCCCAAGTACCTCTTAAGGCATCTAATACTTCTCATTAGAGCTTAAGAAGGGGCTACCATAAAGGGTAGTTGGGGGGGGGTCTAGGTTAACCCCTTAAGCCCTAAACCCCTAAACCCTCAGCCACTAAACCCCTAAACCCTAAACCCCTGAACCCCTAAGCCCCTGAACCCTAAACCCCTCAACCCCTAAACCCCTGAACCCCTAAACCCTAAACCCTAAGCCCCTAAACGCCTGAACCCTAAACCCCTGAACACCTAAGCCCCTGAACCCTAAACCCCTGAGCCCCTCAACCCCTAAACCCCTAAACCCTAAGCCCCTAAACGCC